AAAAAAAAAAAAAATTTGGCCATTCTAATAGAAAAGCTCCTCTCATCTCTGTTGGTTTATTTTCTATAATCCTCTATCTTTGATTACATTGCTGGCAATACAGTTGGGAGGAATTCTGGTAAAGAGGTCTTGGTTAAAGTACTGAATATGGATGTTTTCAGGAAAAAAATGTGTATGGTACATTTATAGAGGAGTGATATGCAAAAATGTAATTAACACTCTTCAGGAAGGTTCTCATTAAATCATAATATATGTGAATACGTTGAAAAATCCAATTCTATCATTTCAGGGCTCACTCTTACTCTTCACTGTATAATAAGAAATGTATCTAACTTAGAACAATGAACACCTCAATATTTACATATTGGTCTGAAGATGACAAAATTGGGATATCTTATACAAATCTTGTCTATAAAGTTACAGTTCAGAATCTGATGTGTTAATGCAGTTCCTCCACAAAAAAGGTGTTTTTTTCCAACTTCCAATATAATACCTTATATTTTTGTACTTCTTGCCAAAAGAGTACACCATTTTCCAATAAATCTCCTTTTAAAGCCACAAACCGTTGAAATTGTCTTGCAGTAATTGGATTCAATAATGCTTTACGAAATGCAATGATTTCACAAGATGAAGATATCCACTTACTCTCCACAGGCTGTCCAAAGCAGAGAATACAGAAAATTAGCTGTGTTCTAAAGTAATAATAAAGTTATTTATTAGGCTAAAAATTAACAACTTCAACCTCCTTTACTTTGGGCTGCTGAAATTTATGGCATGGATACAATAGAATTTGGCAACTTTTACCTCTCTGTTCTCTTTTTTGTGTCCTTTATATTTTTATGGCATCATTTTTTTAAGAGGTAGAGAGAAAAAGAAATGATTGGCTGATTCAGAACATATAACTACATTGTTTAAGAATGTTAAGAATCATTACAGTTTGGGACTATGGTGAAAAACTACATTTTAGTGCACTGCGAGAGTTCTGTGCTTAAACAGAAAAATGTAACCGTAATGTTATGATTATATATTGTTACATCATTATTATGTATTTTATAACTACATATATTATATATGTATCATGTTATATATTAAATATAACTCTCCTGCCTTTTAAAAAGTAAGAACACTAGGACATTTAAGATATTTTTTCAAAATCTTAAAAAAAATTACCAATTAACCCTGTTAATTTAAACAGGAAATTTGCTGTGGAGCTTCTAACTAGAAAAAATATCATGTTTTCAGGTGAGACATCTTTATATTATTTTAATAAAAATTGTTATTAATACTTCCTAACAAGAAGAAAAATCATTAATACATTATTTTTAATAATAAACTGACAGGATTTACTTTACATAACAAAAAAGCCAGAAGGACCCATGGTGCTTTAGTAAGGCTTACAGTATGACTTAGTTTGTATCTTCACAGTTTTGAAAATATATATTCAATACAAGATTCAATCTTTAAATACAAGATGTCTACTTTCTAAATTTTGACCATTTTAGATCACATAGCCATCCCTCTTTAGCCTCTCAGATTAAAAGACATAAGACCTAGATTTTATTGAATTTACTGAATAGAAAATTTTTTACTGGATAAATTTTATTGAAGTTTCCCAAATCTGAGTTTAGTCTACAATCATGCAAAGAAGCACCATTCCAAAGGCAATGTTTTAAATGAATTTGGGGATTATAGTAACAATCAGTAAAAACACATGCTAAACATTCATTACTGACAATGCATAAAATAAATTTCTTGAAACAAATCATATGCGACTATCAGCATAAGTGTTTGAGAGAGTTATGTAAAAAGCACTATGGGAACACAAAAGGAGTAACTCATTCTGCCTGGAGGAGTAAAAGCTTTGCAAAAGGGCCTTGAGGATGACATCTGAATTGGAAACTGAAAAGGGAAGCCAACACCAGGCAGTCTAGGTGAATAGCAGTGCCTTAACCCAGATAAAGTGATTAGATGCCGAACACTGTTTTAGTGAGGCACATGTCGTGTTCTCTGGTCCAAAAGTTAAGACCCCGCCATATGTTCCATATTAAAATTACAGCCCTATAAATAGGAACAATTATGTATTAGACTGGGATGTTTATTTAAAACCCACTCAGCAAATAACGTTTTAAGACCTGCTTCTTAAGATACTAAAACGTAGTAATTTAAACAGAAAATAACATAATATATAATGCACAATAATATGAAATATAAACCCATCCTCCTTAGAATTTCAACAACAAAAAAATAAGCAAAAGACAACCATAGAATGGTTTATTTCCTTTCAAGAGGAAAATACAGAAAAAGAGCATCCTAACAGATACATATAATCCTCTAATAGTCAAATAAAATTTTATGTATGTAGGGGGTCACCTGGGACTAGTCTGACATTCCAGCAAGACCTGTAGAAGGATGAATACATATAAATTTGTAGGCTCAGAAAGAAGCCTGAGTTTATCATGCTTGTTAAGAAGCAAAATAGGCATTTTCTAGTAAAGTATCCTATTATAGTGGTTTAAATAATTGTCAGAATGAGTTTTTAATTCTTTTAAAGCCAAAATGTAATTCTCAACAGAGTATAATGCAAGATCATTTAACTTGCTCATTCTGTTGCATACTTATTTTTTTGTGCAATCCACTCTCAGTAATAAATAAATTACCATATGCTGAAATGAACAGCTTGTCTCAATAAATCCATCACAGGCAAAATAAACAAAAATGCATATTTAAAGTCTAATATTTAAAGCACACTTCTAGGGTTTAGCAGGTCGAGAGGGCTTTAAGAAGAGGGCTCTGGCAGAATCACACTCTCCCCCAGATTCCATCAGCCAATTAAACAGAGCGGTGGCTTAGAACGCAGTGTCTACAATGAGGGTCTTTGAACAAGTAGGGGAGGAAAAAAGTAATACTTTGACAGAGTGGAAGTTGCAAGAGGAAGAATATAACAAACACCACTTGCCTTCCAGACCCCGATTTTCCTTTCATGCTTCTGTAACAAGAGCTCTTCGGCTATGTCTCTCATCTGTACCTAAAAGCAAAACCAATTATTTTATCCCAGTTATTCAGAATGTCTACATTTTTTGACATCATTTACTAATTTAATAGCTTTTATTTTATTTTTTAAAAATATTTACTTATTTATTTTAGAGAGAGAGAGAGCACGAGTGGGGTGAGGGGCAGAGGGAGAGAGAGAGAGAGAATCCCAAGCAGACTCCGTGCTGACCACAGAGCCCAACATGGGGCTCAATCCCACCATCCTGAGATCACAGAGCCAAAACCAACAGCTGGCCGCTCAACCAACTGCACCACCCAGGTGCCCCTAATTTAATAGCTTTTAAAAATGAGGTAAAGGTCAGCATGGAAAAGAGATGATGCAGTTTAGGACAAAAAGGATCAGACTTAGAAATGGAAGCCCTCCCTATGTACCTGAGCAAGTCACTCAAATTCTCTGAACAGTTTCCCCGTCTGCAAAATGAAGCTAATAATACCTAAGCGTGTTGCCCCAAATGTGGATAATAGTTCACTTTGGGTCCCATGGAAATTGAAGCTGGAGAGACAATTAGGAGTTCCCAAATTTTTGTGCTATTTTCTAGCCACAACTAATTTTAGAAGAGCACAGAAGTAAAAACAAACTGAGGGTTCTAGAGGGGAGGGGGGTGGGAGGATGGGTTAGCCTGGTGATGGGTATTGAGGAGGGCACGTTCTGCATGGAGCACTGGGTGTTATGCACAAACAATGAATCATGGAACACTACATCTAAAACTAATGATGTAATGTATGGGGATTAACATAAGAATAAAAAAAAAAAGAAGAGCACAGAAGTTATTCAATGCAGGGAGGAAATATAGTAGATATTTCTTGAGGTTATTGCCTATTCATAATATTTTCCCTTGGGAACCACTCCTACCAAATCTGTGCTATATGAATCCACCTCCCTGTCCACAGCAGATAGATCCAGGCATTGACCTGGAGAGACTAGTATTGGATCACAGCTGCTGCTTTTTGATAGCCACAGCTGGAGAAAAGATCCAGGAACTTCTGTTGGGTTTCCAGGGCTGTCCCAGCCCCTAGCCTTTCTAAAGCTTGGGTGTCTACTCTTCCCCTCAGTGTGTGAGATGTTCTAGCACCATTTTATAATAAATTCTCTCCTTTCTCTTTTGTCTTTGGCTTAAGGTTGCCAGAATCAGTTTATGTTATTGGCCACCCAAAGAACGCTAAGTAAATCAGGAAATGGTTATAAGTTACAATAAAGTTATTGTGGTCAACATAGTGAGAAAACATGGTAAATAATGTTTCAAATTAGTAAGCCAAAGCCTAAAGAAAGGAAATGAGGAAATTTGAGTTGTCTCAAAGCTTATTTCCAGGAACTTTGCCTAAAACAAGTGAGCACTTCTTCATACTATAAATTCTATTTTCCCAGCTGTATTGTGTTTTCCATAACTTAAGGTGCTCGTAAGACTAAGGATATTTCCACATAAGTAAGGCTCAAAGTATTTGATAAATTCAATATAGAGGGCAGTTCTTCTAGATTTTTCCTGATCAACACTAATGGCATGTGTTTTGCATACTAAAGTCCAAAATTACACCTTCTGTCCCTTTATGTTATTTTTGTAAAGATCAGGTTTGCCTTTTTTTTTTGGTGTGACAATGACATTTTAAATTATCAAAGTAACACATGCTTTTTATAAAGCATAAACAAAGCAAAAAACAAATAAAAACAAAAGAACACCCCATTTCACAAAGTAAAAAGTAAAAATCCTTCTTACTCCCCAGGGGGCAGATTCTTGTAGACCTTTTTCATAAACACAAATATAGATAGATAGATAGATGGAAAAAGAAATACATAAATAGATATAGAGATATAAGAACATGTAATGAGATTCTCTTCTATATACTGTTCTGCATCCTGCTTGTTTCACTGAAGAAATAATATCTTTCATGTCAGTACATGTGGAAATCTTTTTATATTTTAATCTCATTTTATAACCCCATTTTATATGGATAAGAACATGTAATGAGATTCTCTTCTATATACTGTTCTGCATCCTGCTTGTTTCACTCAAGAAATAATATCTTTCATATCAGTACATGTGGAAATCTCATTTTTATATTTTAATCTCATTTTATAACCCCATTTTATATGGAAATCTTCATAGTACAGAATTATCATAAAGCATTTAACTATTCCCCCTTGTACGTCCTTGCCCATTTATATGAGGACTTAATAACAATATAAAAAATAACAACTAGATTAATAAGTAATATTTGAGTGTTTGCTGTGTGCCAGGTACCACGCTAAGAAACTAAACATACATTCTTTCATTTCATCTTCACAACTATCTTATGAAGCAATTACTCTTTTTAACCCCAGTTATTTTTCAAATGAGGAAACAAAGGTTATAAAACTTAAAGTTGTAGGGGCGCCTGGCTGGCTCAGTCAAGAAGAGTATGAGACTCTTGATCTTGGGGTCATGAATTCAAGACCCATGTTCGATATAGAGATTATTTAAATTTAAAATAAATAAATAAATAAATAAATAAATAAATAAATAAATATTTACTTAAAGAAAAACAACAAAAAACCTTAAAGTTGTACAGTTAATACATGGCAGGGTTGAGGCAAACCTTGGGAAGGCTAACTCCGTGCTCTTAACCACTGTGCCATAGAAGTACAATAACTGGGCTAATGGGTAGACACATTTGATGTTTTAAGAGGTACTGCTGATTGTTATCCAAAGATTACGCTGATATACCTTTATCTTTTGACGTGCTGCAAACTGTTCACTTGCAAGAAACAATGGCAACCACATGTTTTCTAGCTTATTGAGGACATGCTTCTGAATTTTAAGTAGAACAGGTGCATCAAGCTGCTCATGGAGCATCTTTCCCCAGCCACCACTTAAATTCATTATCTAAGAAAATACAAAGGAAACAGAAAAACTGCAAACTTCTGCTTTAGTGAAGAAACACTAATAGTCATTAATTTATCCATTCACCCCCAAACCATTTGCCGAGCACACCCTAGGTAGCACAACTGTCATTTTCTGAAAGATATCTCCTGGCTATACCGTGGATGGTAAAGACACATAACTCCCCTAACATCAAACAGATAATTGTGGTTTATCTGATTGTTGTTTTAGATGTATGATTTTGCTCATGATATAGTTCAGAGAACACAGGAGTGGGGTTTTTATCCCATGTGACCACAAGCAATGCCATTTTTCTCTCCCTGGCCTCAGCATCTTCAACTGTGAAATGGGGGTAATTATTAGTCTATGAGTTCTAAGTGCTCTTCCAGGTCTCATAGTCTATGAATCTGTGATTCTGGTCAAACTGACTAGTTGGAGAAAGCATTTTCTTTTGCGTATGGGGAAACTGGGGCATGAATTAGTTAGGAGACAACATTGACCCAGAAATTTTAAATAGACACAAACAAATGTTGGGTTGAACTTGGTGGGATGAGGGTGGGGCTAGCAATGCAGGGCTGCCCCAACAACTTCACAGAAGAAAACAGAAGCAGCAGAAGTAGAGAGAGATCAGGTTATACAGAGAACAGTCTCTGACCTGAACAGGTGACACCTTTTACAAAACACAATTTCTTTGTGACCCAGATCTTCCTTCTGTATAAGTATCAGCTTCAACAAGCTATGAATGGCTATTTCCTGCTATAAATCATTCTGTTTTCTACCTGTTTCTGTGTATACACCTTTCAAAACTTCTGGACCCCTCACTAGAAAAATTAACTTCTTCTTAGTTCCCCTTTGAATAATAAAATCAATCAAATCCTACTAATAAAATAATTGTTTTGCATAAAAACAAAAGAGAAACCCTCTTAGCCATCCTTTAATAATACTGATTTTTTATATAAAAAAGGAAGAAAGAAGAAAAAGAGAAAAGACTGCTTTGCTCGTCAAAGAGCAAACTTAGCCACCCAACTGAAATCAGAACTAGCAAGATCTACATGGAACATAATGTGATGTGGATGTGCTTAAGTATAAAATAAGTAAACAAAAAATAAAAGTAAAGCCAAAGATGAGGAAGAAAGGCCACTGGGAAAACTCTTCTGGAGTAAACACAATCATTTGCTATGATAGCAATGGGTAACTTTTTCCACTGAATTTGAACTTCTTAGCATGTTCTAGTATGGAGGGCTCACACAGTAGCATCATATACCACAAAACCTCATACAATGTAGCACAAGCCAAAGAGAAAACAAATGCCTTCCATGTGTTTATTTCATAGTTGTGCTTATTGAGATACCCAACACTTTTGCTAATACAGCCCAGATTTGTATCTCAGGGAACTGATGTGATGGCAAGGCATTTTGTCAAGGTTGATTAATTTCAGAATTTCTTCTCCCTCTTATTCCCAAAAACTTTTGCTTATTTTACACCTGGAAGATCTAGCTTTTTAATTTGGTGTACCCTACTTATGAACACTTCTGAATTTTTCTTTAATTTACTGAATTTAGCATTAATCTGAAATTTGTATTTTATAAATGTACACCATTAGGATATGCATCCTTTAAACTACCAAAATAAAGATATCAAACACTATACATTTGATATCCAGGTAGTAATGTGGTACTAGCAAACTTCAAATTAATTATAACACTTAATTCTTTATATTTCAAAAGCATAAAAATTGAGCCATATTTCATGATAAAATTGTTACTTGAACACTCAGTCGCACTGCTGAATTCCAATCTGACCTTTTTGCCATAAATAATAACACCACATAGTATAATAATGACATATAGTAATAATGACAGTAATAATATAATAAATGATGACACCATCTATCACAGGCACTCATATTTGCTGAATGAATGGATGACTGGATGAATAAAAGCTATTTTTACTCTATAAACTACTTTTAAAAAGAACATAGTTTTATAGTATACTTGAGTGAATTTTAAAGGCATTTAATTTGTAGATATTTAGAAATAGCTTAAAAAGTAAGATATCCAAAATGTCTAACATATAAATCATGAAAGCAAAAGACAAAAAAGATGACTTTCAGGTTGTTGGCGAAAAGAAATAAATTACTGGTTTTCAAACACAGTGACCTCACACCAGTCAGAATGGCTAAAATTAACAAGTGAGGAAACAACAGATGTTGGTGAGGATGCAGAGAAAGGGGAACCCTCCTACACTGTTGGTGGGAATGCAAGCTGGTGCAGCCACTCTGGAAAACAGTATGGAGGTTCCTCAAAAAGTTGAAAATAGAGCTACCCTACGACCCAGCAATTGCACTACTAATACAAATGTAGTGATCCAAAGAGGCACCTGCACCCCAATGTTTATAGCAGCAATGTCCACAATAGCTAAACTATGGAAAGAGCCCAGGTGTCCATCAACAGATGAATGGATAAAGAAGATGTGGTATATATACACAATGGAATACTATTCAGCCATCAAAAAATGAAGTCTTGCCATTTGCAATGACATGGATGGAACTAGAGGGTATTATGTTAAGCGAAATAAGTCAATCAGAGAAAGACAAGTATCATAGGATCTCAGTTATATGTGGAATTTAAGAAACAAAACAGAGGATCATAGGGGAAGGGAGGGAAAAATAAAACAAGATGAAATCAGAGAGTGAGACAAACCATAAGAGACTCTTAATCATAGGAGACAAACTAAGGGTTGCTGGAGGGGAGGGTGGGTAGGGGGATGGGGTAACTGGGTGATGGACATTAAGGACGGCATGTGATGTAATGACACTGGGTATCATATAAGACTGATGAATCACTGAACTCCACCTCTGAAACTAATAATATACTATATGTTAACTAATTGAATTTAAATTTAAAAAATTACTGGTTTTCATACTTCAACAAAGAAAATATGTTTACATATTGATACCTGGTCCTGCTGATATAGAGAAGCTGGACTTTGGGGGCCGAAGAAATATTTTTTATTAAGGTATTTGTTTTTAATATATATAGATTTTGCTTCTCTTTGTGTTCGGTCTCCATAAACTATTCTTCGGAACTGTTCAATGTCTGACCAGCACATAAGGTCCATACTAAAAAGAAAACAAAAACAAAGTACAGCCCTTTTTATTTTTTTTCTCTGAATTCTACTAACCCACCAAACAAGTTGTTGTCCTGACTAGTTAGCAGAACTGATTAGATCATGAAACTAATGCGTTCAATAATATGTCTCATCCTGGCTAAATATATGAATGAACACAGAAGTACTGGGATCAGAAAAGAATCTACCACTGTTTTTGATAGGGCCTCAGAGTTTCTCCTATAACAATGGACTCGTATCGTTGATGTCAAATCTGCTATAATTTCTACCTACTGCATGTATATTTGGCAACATGCTAAATTCACAACAACTTTCATCAATAAGAAGGGAAACTATGTATGTGCAATTTGGCTCCAGGTCTAAACCTTTTCTACTAATTTGGGAGAAAATTATTAGAAAAATATATAATCAATATTTCAGTTTATATTAGATACATATGTCATAAGGTTCCAAGATTCTGTGCAAAACTACAATGTTTCATTTATGTATTAGCTAATAAAAATTACAACGTATTACAGTAAAACTTCAATAGCTTAGAAAAATATAAAGGAGATACTTTTCAGAAATACTAATTAAAGCACCTGTCTAGAAAAATGCGAAAGAAACAGTAGAAAAGCAAAAGAATAAACCACACTGGTGTTTTTATTTAGCCAATGCTAAAACTACTACAAATCTTGTTTGACTATTTAACATTTGGGAGGTTACTATTATTAAAATGAACTCCCCAGCAAAAAGTTACCCATACAGATTTCAGATAGGTATGCTCATTACTGTTTACTGTCATGGGTGAAATCTAGCACCAAATCACTTTTATAATACATTGGATCAAAGTAGCTTAAAAAAATAAGTAGCTTAGAAAAAGGACGTTTAAAGAGAGAAATACATTTTAAAATGTTTATGTTCTTTACCTTGAAGAATGAGCCTCAAGAAACTGACGGAAATGTTCAAACTCCAGTCTGTTGTTAAGCAGGTCATTAAAATTAAAGTGCTTATATTCTTCAGGAACATTATTCCAGTATTCTGTTTTTTTAGAGACCTCAGGAAGCCGTGAAATACCAGTTCCAATTTCACCAATAGTGTCCTAGTGAAATAATACTTTTAACAAAAAATCTCTTAAATACAGCAAATTATTTTCCCAATTTAAAAAGGGAAACAAATGAAAATGAATAATTAGGTCAACACCATCTAACAATGCAATGGTAGAAGTGGGTGCAGAATCTAGAATCTAGAATCTGGCTCTAACTCCTATCAAATTCTATTCTGTTCCTTGCTGTTTCATTCTCTTCTTTTTAGGAACACTTAGTAAACATTTACTATATATTTGCTTATAAAATATTTAATTTTCTTATTTTTGTTAGTATAAGAGTAATATATCTTTTGTAATAAGAAAACAAAAGGCATACATACTACTTACTACCCCACTCAGAGATAACCATAGCTGACATTTTCAAATACAAATCTTCTAGTCTTTTTTGCATACACACATGTAGATTATTAAAAACCAAGATAGGACTGTACAACTATGTATGGTTTTGTAACTCAGTTCTTTTTCTTAACAATGTATTATGAACATAAAATGTTCTTTTATTTATAACAATTTTGAAAGTTATAGAGTAAAACAAAATACTTTTCTAATAGTACGTCCTTTACATGTAAACTTCTTCATATAAAAGTTAATTTTTAGGTATTTTTAAGACTTGATGTTTTGCAGTTTATAAGCTCTATTTAAGGGCAAAGAGCTAGAGAAGCTTATTCTTTGAAAAACCTTTCCTCTCCTTATGGAATACCTTATATAATTAATTCATCCCTCTATTTGTGTTTGAAAAGCATCAGACCATGAGAGAAACTACCAATATTTAAAAAATCAATTTCCAATATGGAGAAGGATTATGGGGAGAATTATACATTTTAGTTCGTAAATTTTAAAACACAACTTAAAATACAACTAAAATACTACATTTTAGTTCATAAGGTTTAAAACACTTAAAATACAAGTTTATGAACATTTTCATTATGTTTAAAATACAATAAAATGTGCTACTTTTTTGGCTTTTTATATAGTCTTTCCAAGATACTAATTAGTGGTTTCTCAAATAAAGAATTTCTTTGTTAAAAAGGCAACTATCATGAAGATTACATTTAACTATCTGAGCCACCCAGGCACCCCGTCATGAAGGTTACATTTAAAAAACAACTTTACTGTTTGTGTAAAATTTTATTGTAAAAGAGTAAAAATTTGAGATAGGCACAAAGGACAAAGTAAAACTATCACCTGAAAAAATATATATATCACTTGAAATCTTACCACTCAGAGCTAACTGTCTTCAACATTTTGGTGAACATCTAGATACCTTACATGTATGAATATATGTATACATGTAGAAATACATATATAATTTTATATAAATAGGATTATATGATATCAGTATTTTTGTTGCACACATTTTTATATAATAATATGTCCTGGGCATTCTCCATGTTGATAAATATGAATATGAACTGTCATTTGTATGTAGATATACACATTTCATTTTATGGCTTTCAGGACCTACCATGGTTTATGTAGCTAATCCAAAAGTTGCAAATTTATAAATCAAAATAACACTTTACTATCCTAGTCAATCCTATGATCTTTTTACTGACTCCCCCAAACCCTTTCCATATTTTTTCCTTTATTGTTTTGCCTATTGCTGTCACACGACAGTTCCTTTTCTATTTGGAAAATTCCATGTAACTCTTTTTTGAATTGACAATGAAGAGAACTTCTGCCGTACAGAAAATAACCAGAAATGTTCCAAGGAATAACGTGGCTTGAAGGCTCTTAACTAAGGCACGCAAGTGGCTTGACTCCCTATGCTACCTCATCTGCTTTGTTCTGGCTTTGTTGTTAAATGTGTCAATATAAAGTGACACCTGTCAAAGGCAGCCTGCTAGGCAAAGAAGTAGCAGAAAAATGAAACTGCCTATCCCCTACTTTATCAGGACATTAGCTCCTCAAGATAGGATTTCCCTGCCCCCCGACCCCATGCCAATATATACAGTGGTAATCCCTCCAGGATAAAAAGTTGGTTTTTCTAAGTAGAGAGCTATCTTACCTCAGTTTTCTTGGAAAACGTCTCTTTATGCAAAGCCTGTAGCTTTCTGAAGTATGTGGAATCTAGCTGTCGAGTTTCTTCCATCAGCCCCACCTAATAAAACAATAATAAAGCTCATAACATCAATAGAATGTACATTATGAAAAAGTGGGGGAAAGAATGCACAATTTGCCAATAACAGTGGGCTAAAAAAATGAATACACTTGCCAGTAAAGTAAATTAGTTTGGAGGCAAAAGCAGCAAGAGCAACGTAAAAATATTAACTACAGCAAACTCAGACTTCACGTGCTATGTAATGATATAGTGACACCAGAGATCATTCCTCCTTTCGGGACACCCCATGTGAACTAACAAACACTGCACACATGTTGGGTCACACTGCCATTTTCTATTCATTATAACAGGATAATAGTCACGAAGGCAGGCATTGCTAGCTTCAGGGACCAAATAATCCAGAGTAGAACAAGAAATGACCGCAATCCATTGTTAATAGTCTGTGAGCTAAGGTTTTGTTGCTGTAGCAAGAGAGGGGAGAGTCATTCATCAGATTAACCTCATTGTAGGTATCAGCCTGCAGAGTATGTATTGTACTGTTTTAGATAGGAAGGAGAACAATCTCATTCTCCATTTCTCTATTCCGGGGAAAAAAATCAGTTTGGCAGACTGAGAACTTTCTACATTTAATGACTAGCTTTGATTATCCTTTTTGGGAAAGAGTCTACATAATCCAGTCACCTGGACTTTTAGAGAAATCCTCTGAGCTGAATTTAAGGAAGTTTCTAGTTTATTATTAAAAAGAGTATATAATTTTCCCACACATAAGAGTCATTACCAATGCCAAAACTTTTTCATTTAGGGACATTAGTTATAATTCTAAATCTTTTTTTTTTTTAACATCTCAGGACCCTATCTCAGGTCCATTTTCCTCTATGCCATACATTTTATTTAAAATAATGACTGGAGAGAATTTTTTTAAAAATTCATACAATAGCCTAATTTTTCTAGTGTAATAGATGTATTTTTGTAGTAGAGAAGATGTAATGCTAATTTTTGAGGACAAAGAGAAATCAGGAAGGAAAATTTAATTTTGATCACTGAATTTAGTAAGCCTTAAGAGTTGTTCAGTCATAATCCAATAAGGTAATTCTATCCAAGGTGCTTTGGTATTAATTTTATCTTAATTTACCTAACCTATTCTTTCTGGGAGAAGACATGACTAAGAGGTCGTTGAGCAGATAGGAACAAAAAATAGCAATACGAAGACAGCAGAGTTCCACCGGGAGTGACCTGATGTAGAGGGTACATGCATTAACTTCATAGAAGAAATGCCCATTACTTGTTCGAATCTGTAACTCAAAATAAATATTGAAAGAAATTTCCTCCACTCATCAATAAGAATAGTGAAAATATTCAAGCACTGAGACTTATTTGGAATTAAAAAAGATGTGTTGAAACTTCTATCCAATCAGTCTGACCTGATGAACATCTGGGGTACCTTAAAACAGCAACACTGACGTTACAGAATGCATTTTCCACAATACATACAAAACATTTCTATTTTCCATGGGTGCAATATTTACCATAACTCATCCAGTATAAAATTAAATGGGCCTTTTCCATTAATCAAAATTAAGGCCACTGCTAAGAAATGGCAAGAAGAGACAAAGCCAGTACATTATCATAGCATATTTTGTTGGTTCACAGGAAACCAAAACTCAGATTTCTCTCTGCTGACATATTTGTACAGGGAACCAAAGATGACAAAGATTTTAGTCTTTTGTTAGGAGACAACAGAGAAACTGGCAAAAAATGAAGTTAATAAATACTTTCATAGCTTCAATTTTGAGCCTGCCAAATCTTAACTCTGAGTGCCTGGCCCATATGAGACCTTTTTCAGTTTTTCTCTTGTAAGTTAAAATGTCGCTTATCATCAGTTTTGTAGTAAACCTGAATGGTCATACACCATGTCTTAGTGCCACAGTACCTTTCCAAAAGCAACTTGGTCTAATTTTACCATCTTTGTCCAGGGCTCAAGAAGGAGGAGAAGGATATATTCTTCTGCTGTGTCAAAAAGGTCTTCAAATGGTGGCTGTATTTTCATATAGATTTCTTTTTTCTTTTCCTGTTGGAGTCCAATGTCAAGAGTAGCCGAAGGAGCAATGTATGTGGCAAAAAGATACTAAGGGAGAAGGGGGAGAAAGAAAGGAGAGGATGTTGGGAGAAACCATAATGGTGAGTGGATTCCTCAGTAAAGGCATTTAAAAAAGGTAAGAGAAGGGAAACAAGCTCAAGTGATGTTTTTTCTTGAAAAGATGCATAAAACTACTTACGTCAAAGCAGTGTGTTTATTCAAAAGGCTTCTCTTTACTTTTCCTATTTCTTCAGCAGTAATTAGTCAATTTGCCAGTGGATCTTACACAAGAGCATATCATTTGGATATTCCAATTTTTTATCAGATTACTTCCATGTATTATTATGATTGATTCCAGGTTATAGGTCTCCTTTTCCCTTTATGTTCACGATATTTCTAACACTTTAGTGCTACCTCCCAAAATGGTTTGAAATGCCCATTTGGAAACAAGAGGCAAGAATACACTAGGGCTGAAAAACTGGCTATCAGTCTTCTAGTATAGAGACCCAAAAGACTACCTGCCCTACCCAACTGAGCTGCAGAGTTCTTAAGACTGTTACTAATTATCTCTTTCTGCTGTAAAAATATCTCCATCTGATGTCCAATGCTGTGGGAGAGATATGAGAAGGAAGTAGGAGTGAGTGGAAAGATAAACAGATACGCATGGAATTTCTAGCTTCCTAGAAAAAGCTGCGTAAATGTCTATTCCATTCTACTCATTTGTCTTTTCTCTAAATAATAGCTATTTACATCTGAGAAGTAATTTAATAACAGTTTACTTTTAAAATATTACATATTGAATGTCATGCCCTGTGTATCAGATTTAAATGTAGTTTTATGAACAATCTCTAATTAATTGTATTCAATTTTAATTTTATTTTTTTAGTTTTGGACCTGATAATGTCCAGATTCAACTCAGGCGATAGATAGATAGATAGATAGATAGATAGATAGATAGATAGATAGATAGATATAGTATTCTGTAAAATAATCTTTTTAAAAGTTTTAAAGGGTCCACATTAATAACATAAGCATTTGCTGAGTATCTACTATGTCTTAGACACTTGGATAGTTGCTATGTATGCAAAGATTAATGATTAAGATCCAATACCTAATCTGAAGGAGCCCATTCCTGGTGACATGGAGTTAAAAATCGGTCATTGCAATACAGTATGGTAAGTACAACAAGAGAAGTACACACTGCAAATAAGATCATCCATGATTTCCTGTCCATTCTTTTAAAACTCACATCCCATTAATCACCTTTTAAATTTTACACTCAAATATCAGTTCTTCTGTTATTTTTCTAAACCTTGTTGTTTCACCATTCCATATCATTGCCTATATTATTCCTTCAATCTTGGCTATTCACCTTATCCCATGCACCTTGTCTGCTTGATAAACTCTGATTTATTCTTTAAAAACCAACATGGATTTTTCCTCCTCCAGGAAGCCTTCACTCACACCCTCCTCCCAAGATCATTTTCTACTGCTATCCCTACCACACTAAATGAAGTTATGTATTATGTATTTTCTCTTCTAGAACAAGGTCCTTGAGGGCAAATACTGCAGCTTATTCTTTTGTCATTCTTCAACTCCTAAAACTGTTCTTGGCGCAGAGAAGTTGCCATAAATGTTTATTAATTGTACTAAATCCACAGAAAAGACTCACTTATGTCTCGGAATGGAAAGGAAAAGATTCCAAAACTTTTCCAAGAGAAGATAAGCTTCCTTTATCCTTAATCCTTCAGCTGAATCTTTAAAGATGAGTTGGGAGTCGATCAGGCAAGAAAAGGGAGTTGATGAGAAAGATGGTTTAAGAAGAAGGAAAATACGGGGCGAGGCATGAAGGCTTAGGGCAGTTTTATGACCTATGGAGAGATTCTAGGCTCCAAATAGATATCACTGGCTAAAGGAAAGAGGTAGAGTAAGAAAGGATCCTATAAAGGGAGGCAGAAGCCTTTTTTGTCCCTTGGTGAAGAATTTGAATTTTTACTTAAATAATGAGGTCTCTCTGAGGAGTGACATCTTTGGATATGAATCTTAGAAATAAATCACTTTGGCATCAGGAAAGAGAAAAGTTTCGAGTAGGTCAAGATTTGAGGTAGTTTGGAATTTATTTCAATAGCCAGATAAGAAATTATGTGCCACCTTCATCTCTCACCTGCTTTTGTGCAATAGCCTCTTAACTCGTCCTCAAGGGTTCCTCTTTGCTTTCTTACCATCTTTTCTTACTACAGCAAACAGAGAAGGCCTTTTGCCTATCACTCTTCTGCTCAATTCTTCAGTGACTTCTCTCACACACAGTAACAGTCAAAGTCCTTATAACTACCTATAATTGGGATTTTTAGAAGTTTCTCAATACTGAGAGGACAAGGATTATAGTTCAGGACCTGAAATTGGGGAAGCCCCTGTAAATATCTTAGGGTCTCAAAACACCCTAACATCAGGGCTAGACCAGGTATAGACTCTAGCCTTGAATCTTTAAAGTGCCAAGGGAAAATGGCTGCTAACCTGTAATTCTGTACCCAGCAAAAATACCCTTATAAAATGAAAAGAAAAGAAAGATGTCATAAATCAACAAACAGCAGCAGACAATTCATTACCAGTAGACCTGCAATATGTATGTAAAATAAACAAAGGTAAGAGCAGAATGGAATAGAGAACAACAGATGCATAAATATATAAGTAAAGATGAATAAATATTCATTGTAAAGCATAATAATAATGAATGAAGTCAGAGGAAATACTAAAAGAGCCTAAGAAAAAGAAGTTTGAGATTGAAGAGGCAAGTTAAAGTGCAACTGAAATAATCTACCGTGAGCCCTACTATAAGGGAGGAAAGCAAATGAGGTTAGAATCAGGATAGTAATAACAATATTCAGAGAGGAATTTCAAAGAATGAGAGTGAATGGGCACTGGCTGGCTCAGTGAGTAGAGCATGTGACTCTTTTTTGTTTGTTTCAAGTTTTTATTTAAATTCTAGTTAGTTAACATACAATGTAATATTGGTTTCAGGAGTAGAATTTCGTGGTTCATCCCCTACATATAATACCCAGTGCTCATCACAAGTGGCCTCCTTAATCCCTATCACCCATTTAACCCATCCCCCACCCAGCGTTCCTCCAGCATCTCTTAGTTTGTTCTCTATATAGTTAATAGCTCATTTGTTTTGTTTCTTAAATTCCACATATGAGTGAAATCATATGGTATTTGTCTTTCTGTGACTGACTTATTTTGCTTGGTATAATACTCTCTAGCTCCATCCATGATTTTGCAGATGGTAAGATTTCATTCTTTTTGATGGCTGAGTAATATACCATCATGTATATATACCACATCTGCTTTATCCATTCATCAGTTGATTGACACTTGGGTTGTAGAAGTATGACTTGTAAATCTAACTAGTCTAACAAGTTAGATTTGTATCAGATTCAAATCTATTCTTAAATATTTTCTAAGTTGGAGATTTTAAACGTGCATGAATTAAAATAATGTCATACTAAGGTAAATTAAGAAACTAAAGATGAAAATGATCAAATTAACAACAATAAAAATGTCTCTAGAATTTGCTTCAGTAATTTCAAATTTACCTCAAAGGAGAGCAAATTTGACTCCCCAAATCACTTCATTTAAAAATCAGTGGTCAGGCTTTATTTGGGGTTGAATAGCTTCTAATGGAAAAATAAAGCAACTGCTTAGTCATTGGGTCAGCTACACTGAAAGTATAAATAAACACTTGACATGCCACATATCAAACTCTTTGTGTAGAAATCAGGACAATTTCTTTGATTTTTAAAAACAGTAACAGTGAAGACAATAAAATACAAAAGAAGCTGAAATGGTGACTAGAATAACAGTGATAGAAATGAGAGTCAGCTTCTTGTGGACACCCAAATCTGTTCTTTTCCCTTTCTCTCCCAGTCTTACCTTCACTCTGCTTGTCTTTTAAGATCTGCTGCTACCCACAGTCTCATGAGAGACTCTAGATGCTATTTATATTGTCTATCATTATACCTTGGTGGACATTTTGTGATGCCACGGTAAAGCCAGGTTGCTGTATGTGATTATATCCAGTTGCCTTGGGCTTTTACCTTCTGAAATTTTGCTTTATGATTTTCTTCAGAATGAGCGTCACTTCACTTTGCCAATTACTGTATTAATAGCACAACTTCCTCTCTCTGGTCATTATTCTTCATCCTTTTATACTTCTCACCAAGCTTTTCTTTACCTTCAGCACAATCTGTGGCTTCTTCCTGTCCTCCAAATAAATGGGGCACCACCTAATTTCTCTTATTTTCTTACATGATCGGGTCTGAAGATTGCCCATCATTTCAACTACACTCTTAAAACATTCTTAATTCCTCCCATCTTGATCTTCTGCTCAATTCTGAGTCAGCTAAATCATTCATTTTTCCAACTCTGTCCTCAAGCTCCCAATAAAAACTATGACAGCTGGCTCCATTATACATAGATTTAAAAAAAGAAGAACTTCAGCTGTGATGGCAAAGTTCAGTACGTTTTTGCATATTTCTAAACAAGTCTTATCTCCCCATTTCTAAACTTTGCCATCCTCCGTAAAGCTCCCAACTGTTCCTTATGCTTCTTCACTTTCAGAAGATTTATCTTCCACTTAACTGGGAAAAAAAACTCTGGTATGAATGCCCTCAACTTTCCCCTCAAGAGCCTTCTTCTAAATATTTTTCTTTCTCTGATGTTTCAGAGGAAGACTCCTCTCCAAGACTAAGCCATTCATGTGTGATCTTGACTCCATTCCCCCCACCCCCAGCCCCGGAACCTTGCAACATTGATTATTTCCTTCGTGCTTATGTCCTTAATTCACTTTGCCATTGATTCCATCTTCTTCCTTATGCTACAAAGGTGTTCAGATGAGGTGTCTCTCCCATTGTAAAATAAGTTTCTTGACCACTTTGCCCACAAACTATTGCTGTTCTCTCTTTCCCATCTCTACAAATCTTCATACTCCCTTTTCACCCACTTCTCAATCTACTGCAGTCTGGTTTGCAGGCCAATGAAACTGATCTCCA